AAAGGGGAGAGGAAAGAAAAAGCCCAGAAATGCAAAACAGAAAACACTGACCTAGCAACACAGCAGGATCTATGTTCGATAGGGAGTAGGAAAGAATTGTTCTTACATCAGCAGGCATTCGGAGCATGCCACATAAGGAGATGGTGAAGTTGGAAGACACTGCTGGTATGCTCTACCACAGCGATATGCAGCATTGCTGTCGCCAGCACTGTATAACTTGATCAAAATGTATTTTGAAAGCTGCCATGAGAAAGAAGGCATGGAAAAAGTCACCTTTCATAGCAAACTATTTCTGTTCAGAGGGAACATCCTGTCTCATGAAAACAGACATTTTATAACCCACTTGTAGTCTTTTACCCACAAATTTATTTCACCATCAGAACACTTATCAGCTGCAGCATAGTTAAGAATGTCACCATTACCCACCCTAATACACAGACATCATACACAAGAACTCCTTGAAGTAGCAGTTAGTGTTAGTAGCGTTGATCTGCCTGTAACTCACAACTGGCTTGACGCACAAAAAAAGCAGAGCTAATCTTGCAGTAGTTCTGGAAGCAAAATTTCCACCTCTGAAGCGCTTTTTATGGAGGGAAAAAAAAAAAAAGACACTGAAAGTCAGTTGTTTAGGTTTTTCAAATTTTTTTTTAAATGAAGTGTTGCTGAAAATCATTAGCTGAACAACAACAGCATTTTCTAGTTACAATTTAAAGTAAGGTAAAGAAAATACAAACAATGATATAAATAACATCAAGCAACAGCCTTTGCAGAAATTGCTTATGGCAATGGCTATAACTGACACTACAAATTCTACTTCTATATCTACATGTACAAATCTATACATTCCATAAATACAGCATCAGTTGAATTTCAGTCCACTGATGTGGTAGTCAGTATGGGATATCACAGATTTTACTGCGGATTAGAAGGTGTTTTCTCATACAAATTCAGAGTCATACAAGAAATTCGATTACTGACATAACTTACAGAGAAATGAATGCTCAGTGGCACTAACAGCAGGATACTCACAAGCTGGTGTTTTGCCTTGCTTACCTACAACAGGGATTTCTATGTCAGCCGATCCTCTGTCACTCGTGCTGTAACTCTTAAGCATAATGAGGACTAGGGTTCTTATTTCAGCTTCTCCTCACATTTCTCTGCATTTTTAGACTAGTCTCAAACATTTGGTCCTTACATTAACAGTTATTTTATACCTAATTATAGAGATTATAATTTCTTGGAAAGTAGCAAATGGAACTAAGATGCCAAATCTTCTCTATCTCTTCACGGGATGACAAAAGGAACTAGATTCATTATTGATGTGGATCAATCTTCACCCTAAAATGTAAAAGGAAAAAAAAGGAAAACCAAATCAGTCACAGGCACTCTCACAAACCTTGTCAGGTTTCAGCTGTCAAGAAAGAGAAAAGCTTTTTGAAATTTATCTCATACATTAAAAAAATCAAACACCTCTGATAAAAGTTATAATAGTCTTTTGAAAAGCACTTAATGGAATCCAGATTCTTTGACAAACACTTATTATCAGATTATGAAAGCAGACTGATTTTTTTTTTTTAATATATAATTACTAAATGTTCTTAGTTACACGACAAGTCGATATACGTACCCACTTCATTTTTCAGGATTCTATGCACAAAGCATATATACAGCATACAAAAATACATGACGTAATGCATGTTTTTATTCTGAAGTTTCCACTATCTGGTCAATCCTTGGGTCACGTTCTCCAAAAGGATTAGTGTAACTGTACAGTACTTACTCCATCAGCATCAATCAGTTCAGTTTTATCACACCCTACTGTAACACAGTTCTAGCGTTGTTGTAAACACCAAATACTACAGACAGGATTTTTTGAAGACTGTGGATAGTTTCCAGGAGATAGAACCATTTGCCCGGCTAAAGGTGGGTATCTGACCATTAGATTTCCATAGCAAGTGGGAAAACGACGCATTTCCAGGCTTACTGCCTTTCTTCCATGTTTGTGAGAAAGGACCAGCTGCACACTCACTGCAGGAGAAATGGCTGGAAGGCTGTACCCACCTTACACAAAAAGAGGCTACAACTAAACCATCCTCAATTATTTAGGATACTACATGAGACTCCTAGTCAGAGGACCTGGTTGTATCACTTCTTGGAGCCACGTCAATGTGGATGAAGACTATAAGCATCAAAGTATCAAATGAGCATGAACCACAAACATTTCTGTTAGTTTTCCAGGGGAACTGCTAAACTCCAAAACAAAGGACACCCGGAGATCCATCTAAGGCTAGAACATTTATAACATAGGATGATCTCCCATGTGATGGAAGCCACAGAACTTTACCTAATTAATGATGGTTGCCGAGAAACCTACATTTCATAATGAACTACAGCATCTAGAACAGATTGGAAAATTGCAGTTAGAGCCTCTATCTGCCACGTGTATTCTGGCTTGCAGGACAAACGAGGAAACCTTTTAAGATGATGTAGGCTGTAACATGCCTCCTGTCCCATCTGCACGAAGCACAAAAAACCTGTTAGAACAAGGATGCCACTATTTGTGCCACAGGGTTCAGCCCAGACTTGCCAAACACAATGCTGTAATGCCAACTGCTGGCTAAGCCAAGAAGTGGGAGCCACCACGGTGGGGAACAGATGAAAACCATTGCTCATCACAATGAGAAATTCCAGCTCTCCATTTCCTCCATAAAACAGAACTCCCAAGAAGTTTCTTGTTTGGCATCACAGAAAGTGAAACAAAGAAAGTGTGGAGGGAAGAGAGTGAGTGGGGTCTTTCTGGTGAGATGAGAGCTGTGTTTGTCACATTACCTAGTGCTGAGTGCAGCTGTTTTGGTCACACATACTGTTAACACCTCTGCATGTTTTCTACATCCCTGATTCAGAAAGACACTTAAGTACACACATAACATTTTAAATATATTTTTTAATAACAATACATAGTTGACATTTGAAACCAGACTGTGTAAGTCTAATTCTAACCAAAAATAATATATTACACTTCTGGCATGATCATGTTACAAAATCCAACTGCAAGGTTCACAGAATATAGTTCTGGACATCTGGCCTAGGGTTTTTTTTTCCTCCAGAGAATCCAGAAAAAGGGCAGGCAAGCATTCAACATAGACAAAAATCCCAAAACTTATGGGTTGGCTTTGTTACTATCTTTCAGGACAAACTGTTGTTCAGAGCTTAAAATAACGGGGGGGAAACCCTCATATTCTTCCCATCTCTGCTCCAGTGTTACTTAACCTCTCATAATAGTTTTCCATGTCTATGCAACATTTCTAGCAATTGCTAAGTACACGTATGGAGGATCTAAAAAATAAACTTAAAATCATGCCTTAAGGATTAATATGAGTGCTCAGAACAGAATTCTGAAGACAACCGTGCTATACACTGAAATATGGCAATTTTCAGTGCTTTCAATTAATCCCGAATTGAGATAATGCTAAAAAGACACAATTAGTTCAACAAAAAAGGCAACATTCAGTCTAGCAAAGTCATTCACGATAATGTTTATTCTATGAAACAAAGAAAACGTAAGATTAAAAAATGTTCCATGCATTTCATAAAACACAGAGAAAGACATTGTCACAAACAGCACAGAGAATAAGCAAGCAAAACCCCCCCTGAAAATCCTGAAAGCTCCACTCCTCACATTGCATCACACAAATACAAAAAGCATATACAGGAGAAAGAGCAGTCTAAGGAAAGCAGCAAGTTATCTGTCAAAATCTGGGATGAGTAAATCAGCCTGCAAGACTTTTGGTTCTATGATAAAAGAGAGGTGATGGCAAACTAATGCAACTTGTTTTCCTCGCTACCAGCTCTTGGCATTCTGTTCGGCTGGGAAACCACGATAGCACAGCAGAACTGATATTAAGTTGCAGTCTAGAAAGGTAGTAGGGCCCAAAGTGCAGGCAGATACAGAAAGATAGCAGGGCACGACGGATGGGAGGAGATGGCAGTTGTTCCACTGTGGGAAGTAAGGTGGAAGGACATGCTTTGACTACCTTACCAGGAGCATGCGGGGGTGGGAAATACACCCCACGAAAGAAATATGGGGCAGAAGCAGGGAATATATCTAATACCTCTCTTTAACAGTCCCAGAAACATAAAAGACGTGCTGCATTATGAAAGGATGCTGAGAGCAACATCTTTATTTAGGTTACAAGTTACATGACTATAAACCTTCTTATTGAAAGCTTTTGATCCAGTTCCTTCTCCTCGACCTACAATACTCCATTTGGCTTTAGCAAAGCTGTTAGGAGAACCTCCTCTTGCTTTTATTTTACAGAACCTCTCAGATTCCCACAACGGTTACCAACCACATGACTACCGACCACAAAGCCAGTCCAGTTCTGGGCTCTGACACAAAAGCAGTCCCCATCTCTTACCGGGAATGCCCAAAAGCTGCCATAGCTGCATTGGGGAAGAGTGGTGCAGAGAAAGGAAGAACAAGGCTCCGCTTACACAAACACCTATTACCCCAAAGGCCCCACTCCATGCAGGCTTAGGAACACCACAATCAAAGAGTTTCATGTGGGGAGGAGTAAAGTGAAGACAGAGGACTAGGATCCTTCCCCCTGCATCTGGTGATGCTTCCACTTCTCTCACAACAGAGTTCTTCTGCTAGCTACCAAGCTATCTCTGCTGCAGTGCGGAAGGTTCTGCATTGGCCTCCTGTGAACAACGCAGCATGTGGGAAGATTGTTACAGTTGCAAATGTGGTTTTCACGTTGTTTCTTAACAATATAAAGCTAGGAATTCCTATGTTTTAAAAGTTTACAGTAAAGTGTAATTTAACCTGTAGCATGAAATAGTACAAAACTAGAAGATGTGAGATATAGAATTGCCCATACTACACCTTAACTCTGCTCCTTTGAATGTACGTATCAGGAATAGGGCTTTACATCACACGATCTTTTCACTTTTCAATCCTCAGAAGCACCTTATTTCATTCCCTGGACCAGCACAAGTGAGGCAGAAAGAGGACTCCATAGGAAATCCCAAGACCACCATTTCTCACTTTTGAGTGCCTGCAGCTAGAATAACGTTTTCTTGATGGAGTTCTTAAAATTCAATTACGTTTTATGTGCTCCGTTTACCTTGCATTAGAAATACAGAAAATGCTGTAAAAGATTAATGTCTCAGGTCTTCACAGGTCTCCACAGGCCTTGGTGAAACACAAAGATTGAGTCTTCTTTTAAAACAACTGCCCAGCTTCCTAGCTAGTGTAATTTCTGTGTTGTCCATGTAAACACTACACAGAGTCTTTGTACCACCCACTAAGCTCTTTGCTTCAATCAACCATTTGTGCCCAAAAGCACATCCTTATGTTTCTTCCTACACCACAGTCATCCTCCTACACCACAAAAGATGTAACAAAACAGGAATTAATCATAGGCTGGATACTTACAGGGGTTGCTGCTGTTTGCTTCTGTCTTCCCAGCCTTGGCAAGTTTGGTTGAGTTCTGCTGTGCTTTGCCTTGCTCCTCTCCAGTTAGCAGGGCTTTTATTTCAGAGGGGATTTTCCCTTGGTCCATCGCCATGCACCACTGCTTGTACTGAAATATGCAAACACATTAGGCATTAGCAAACTGCCAGGATCACATTAGCAGACAAAACAGAGCTGTAATCTTTACCTTCCGGTATATTCATTTAAGGTTTGAATTTACTGGGTTGAAGCCTCTTACAAAACTGCAGAGCACTAATGAGCTAAGCACATGTCCATGGTTGCATACCTGGCCTCAGTAAATCCTGTTCCAGTCAATAAACTGCTACTCAGTGGCAGTACTAGACACAATACTGTAATTATTAAACAACACGGAACACTTTGTGCATTTTCTTGCTGTTGGCATGCCAGAATACCGTTCCAGTTCATGGCCTATTAAAAACAAGTATTTCACATGACTCTGGGGCTGATTGACTATAAGAGGTCCTCTCTGATTGTGCAAGGCACGGTTACAGCACATATGCCTTATTCCTAGTCCCCTCATCTTAAATTCTTCGTTGGCAAACCCTGAAGCGCACTGAAAAACCTGTGGTCAGTTGGCTGACTTTCCACCCAGTCCTAACTCTGTTCACTTATGGTGATTAGCCCTGCCTATTCAAACAAACCTAACGCAAGGTCAAGGCACTATCCTCAGCTCCAGTGAAATTTCAATGGCATCTCAATATCACTGAGGAGCTGAGTCTGTATTTCCAGATGAAACATTCTCTTCAGTTAATGCAGCTTATTTGGCCAAGCCTCCCATCTTATACATCCTGGAAGACAGGACAGCTGTGAAACCATCTACACGGAGACTATACCGCAAGAATCGACCTTCCCAACACAGACAAAGGTCTGTGGGAAGCAATGACACGCTGCGGATATATGTTCCCCCTTGATATTTTAAGACATCTCTTTCCACCCTCTACCTCTTTCTACCTGTCAGAGGTTTTCCAAAACAAACATTTCAAAGACAACAGACTCGTATGCAACAGCTCTTTCTTTACTTGCTTCCAGCTCAAAACCAGCAGATAATTTGCAACATCAGGTTCATATTCAACACGCAAAATACACAAACAGCTGAACGCATCTGTTACTGATGTTTTGATACCTTATGGCTAGCCAAATCCCAGCCTCAGCCACAGTGATTTCCAGAACAAATGTCCACGAGGACAGGTCCCAAATAATATCGAGGGTTACATTAAATGATAATGTCTTACCATTTCAAGCTCTTCTCTGAGAGCACAGATGGCTCGTTCTCTGCTTGAAACCAGCTCTTCCAGGTACTGGTACCTCAGCTTCTTCCTGGCTCTGCACTCTCTTGCACTCTGACGACTTCTTTCAAGTTTTGCCTTCAAGTCTATTTTGGCTGGTTTACGACCTCGTTTGCCCGGTTTCTTTACCTTGCCTCCAACCACCTGGAAAGGCAGGGTACAGTAAAGATCCTGTTCTGCAAAGGTAATGCTGTAACCATGTCATTGTGCCTACCAGGTGTCTCAAGCAGAAAATCTTGCATATACTTCCACTGATTCTGGAGCAACAGAAGAAATAAGGGGCCTGACATATGAAGTTTTCAGTGGCAGCATCAAAAACAAAAGGGAGGGATACGACTTTGTAGTGAAGCCAGTGCTTAAGCAGCCCTATTGCAAATGCTACTAATCTGATTTGGAGGAGCTCCACAGAATGGTTGAGGTTGGCAGGGACCTCTGGAGGTCATCTGGTCCAATGCCCTGTGCTCAAGCAGGACCACCTACAGCTGGCTGCCCAGGACTGTGTCCAGATGGCTTTTGAGTATCTCCAAGGAGGAAGACTCCACAAGCCCTCTGGGCAACTTCTGCCATGCTCAGTCACCCTCACAGCAGAAGAGCATTTCCTGATGTTCAGACAGACCCTCTTGTGTTCCAGTTTGTACCCATCGCCTCTGGTCCTGGCACTGGGTACCACTAAAGAGAGCCGGTCTCTTGTTTATACCCTACCCTTCAGGTATTTGTGCACACTGATGAGATCACCTGAGACTTCTCTTCTCCAGTCTAGATGGTCCCAGTCTTCTCAGCCTTTCTTCATAGGAACGGTCTCTTGTTTATACCCTCCCCTTCAGGTATTTGTACACACTGATGAGATAACCTGAGACTTCTCCAGTCTAGACGGTCCCAGTCTTCTCAGCCTTTCTTCATAGGAGAGATGTTCCAGTCCCTTCATCATCTCAGTGACCTTTTGCTGGACTCTGTCCAGCAGCTCCATTTCTCTCTTGCACTGGGAGCCCAGAACCAGACATGCTATTTCAGATATCTAGGAGGATATCCGGGGCGTTGGGGAGACAGAAATGATACTCAACTTGTAATGAAACTGTTCTAGTAATACCTCTCTCGCACTGGGAGCCCAGAACCAGACACGCTATTTCAGATATCTAGGAGGATATCTGGGGCGTTGAGGAGACAGAAATGACACTCAACTTGTAATGAAACTGTTCTAGTAATACCTGCCCTAATACTTGCCAGCTCTAGAAATGTTGTATTATTGAGTGTAACACTTTAATTTGGAAGAAAAAAATATTTATTTATATCAATATAATCCAAAACTTAGTTTTGTTGCAATGAAATGACCACAGTTTCGGCCTACTCTAAAGCTAAAACTTGTGAGAATTATTCACTAGCCATCTGAGCTTCCTCAGTCTCAATTTCCTTCCAAGAAATCTTCTGAGGATTTTTACTAAACAGGGAACTCTGTTACACTGAGTCCTACCTCTGCTGCCTCTATTCCAGTTGTACCTAACCACTCTGGCCATGTTTACCTTCGAAATATTACTACACAGCCTGGAAAATTGTCTCCTCACACCTCCTCATGCAACCTATTCCAGTGTTCAACACTCCCAGTGCCTAATTTAGATCTCCTTTGCAGAAATGTAACCCCCTAGCTTCTTGTCCTATGGAGTGCAGGTTTTTGCAACCGTTTTCCCCTCCTCTTTCTGGCTCCTTTTTTTGTTTTGGGGGTTTTTTTGGCAGTTTTTTTGTTTGGCTTTTTGTTGTTGTTGTTGTTTTTGTTTTGTTTATTTTCCCCTCTTCTTTCTGGCTCCTTTTTTTTTGTTTTTTGGGGGTTTTTTTGTTTGTTTTTTGTTGTTTTTTTTTTTTGGTTGGGGTTTTTTTTGGTTTTTGGTGTGGTGTTTTGGTTTTTTTTTGGGGGGGGGGTCAGGTCTGAAAGCTTCTCTTGCTACAAATAAAGTTTTTTTGTTTTTTTTACAGGTCTGAAAGCTTCTCTTGCTACAAATAAAAAAATAAAAGGAACATTTTCCTCAATGTTTAATGTTTACTCTATGCTTCCCTCCCCAAATATTTTACTCTTAACATGAGAGCATGGCACAAGAAAGGCTTAAATATAGCCTGAAACCTAGTACACCGGCCATCAGGTAGTATCACCCTGTAAGCATTACAGCAGGCACACACCCCACCTCCCCTCTGAAGTGAGGAGTTCTCTTTATTTGCATTCTGACCACACTGTTTGAATGGAGGGGGTGTGGAGAAACACACCTAACACACACACACCTACATGCAAGAATTTCACTGCAGGCTTAGTGTTTCACCATACCGTATACAGACGTGACTTTTTGAATAGGCAGTGTTCAAAATATCAGAGTTCATCATTAAAAAAAGGCACTTTTTACTGTCTGATGCTACAAAGTAAGTCAGCTTTGACAATCAAAGAAGTCATTTGTTCTACAAACTTAGCGGGCTGCAATAAAAACAATAACATAGTGAACTGATGTGCTAGAATGAAGAAAAAGAAAGGATTATACAATTGAGCCTATTCTTTCTTTGGAAAGTGAGTCAACAATCACATGCCAACATAATCCTACCCTCTCTATATTGCCTCTCCTAATTTATTCAGGAGTAGCTGCCTACCATAAGCAAATGGAGAAACACAAAGTACTTAATGGACATCTAGTGATAATGAAACAAACAAAATACATTCAGAAAAGCAAAGGGAAAAAAAAAAATCAAGCTTTTTTACACTTGAACTGCTGAATACAGTTTGAATAATCCATTCACTCCACCAAGGTGCTCTCCCTAAGATCTTTTAGTTCAGATATTAAACAACCATGGCCAAGGGGGAAAGTGACTGTCCCCTTTTGGGCATCACAAGCGTGGCTTTGACCTCTCACAGGACCACACTCCAATTTATGCATGGTGTGACTTACACTCCTAGCTCAGCAGGAGTTAGAAATACACACAGTCTTCCCAGCAGGGGCTGTAGGCACTCACAATTTGCTATCTACTATTACTTGCACTTGAAAGATTCCTGGGTATTACACTACACACTACAGCCAAAGTACTTCAATTCTCAAAGATGTTTAGCACCTGAGGCTTTTCTGTGCCAATGCAAGGCAATTTAAAGTAAATCTTTGAATTCAAGAGCTAGATAAGGTCTTGTAGAGACATACACTCCATCTCTCTCAAAAAAACCTTTGCCGCTCTGAGTTCTGACCCTCTAGACCAGTGAGCCAGCACTCAAGGTCGGAGTCCCAGCGCACCACATACTGCCGTATGAACAAAAACTCAAGCCTTGGTGCTGTGCAGGAGCACGTCACAGCCATGCACCTTCACCGGAACATCAGGCAGGTGACTGGCTGCTACCACGCTGTTTCTCATAACCAGCAAGTTAAAGCTACTGGCAAATAGCAGCCAACCTTTCCACAGCCAGCATGCTGGGCAGGCACCGGCAATGAAAAGCACTTGCAAGCAGCACAGCTTCATAGCAGTTAAATCCATCCAACACCACAAGCTCACAAAAGAATTTCTTTTTAAGGACCTGTTATTTTAAAGCATCTTGTGTATGTTTATATGCAGCTGGCGTCTTTTTTAAAGTAGGGGTCACATCGACACAGAAAACATACAAAGGGGAAGGGAGAGTGGATCTTTATTCCAGTACGATACCAACTGAGCTCATACAAACTCTGAGTTTAAAGACATGTTTTTACAGACAGATCTAGAGATGCGGCCATAAAACAGTTAAAGGCACTTGGTAGTCCGCAAGGAAATTAGATGCTGATCTAGACTGCTTTGCACATTGCAAATGCATCCTGGTTCCACCATTATCAATTAACTGCTTTCCCTTTAGTCACTCCAGAGACCTTTCTACAGACAGGGGTACTAATTGCTCTCTCTCCCCCGAGATCTTTTTACCACTGCAACAGACCTGCACACAAGCCCTCTTATGGAAGGAAAAAGGCTTGTACCTCTTGGGTCATCGCTTGACAATGCTCTAACCAACAGAACTATGGAAATAATTAAAAGCTTCCCTCCCTTTTTATCTGACTTTAGCCAGTAAGACCTTAATAATCTGCCTTCACACCATCCCGAAAGACTCATACCATCTTCATGGCTCCTGAACTGGAGTTCACCATACAATTAGGCATCACCCTGCACAGCTACTTTGGTAAGAGATTTAATCAAATCCTGCATCCTTAACAGTTTTCCTTACCAGTATTTAGAAGCCCCTGCTGTAACCCTAAGCAACCCAGGTGGGGAAAAAAGGCCTGATAAATCCTTTCCCATCATCCCACATCACTGTATCTCCCTGGCTTCTAGTCATGTTTGCCTACTCAGCTGCTATGCTGATGTGACAGAAAGAAGACAAAGCAGAAGTGCCAGTTGATGTTGAACATGGCAGCAGACCAAGAAAAAAAACAAGCAAGCAAACATTTTTTTATTCCCTTTGTATTCCTCCAGAGTTTACAAAGGGATGTGATCTATTAGCATTCAGCAGCAGAGATTTAGGGTTTTTTTCAGGGAGTCGTATCAATCAAGACCCGGAATAACATTAATCAAAATTTGTCGTACAACGTTAAGAATAACCTGTATTTTTCAGAAATCTGACCAAGCTCCTCTTTCAGCTCACTCAGACTTCAGAAAATAGCAGTAACTCCCTCCTTTTTTAATACCAGTACTTAGATCATAACACCATTCTTGCCTGGCATCAGGTGCAAAATTATTTGACTTTGAATTGGAAATAGCTGCAATTACTTGCCCTGATATAGAAAAAGCCCTCAGATTTCTGTATTTTTTATTAAAGGGATTCAGCAGATCTCTACAGAAGCACTGCCAGACTGCAAGATGGAGAAGTCCTCCTTAGGAAGGGGATACATACGTAACACAGCTACTAGCATTCACACTCCTGAGAACTGAGCCACTCAGATAGAAGACTGTGATAAAGCTGGCCTCACTGTGACGTCTGAAGGCTTTGAACAACTCTGCAGACTAAAGCCACACTATCTGAATCACTATTCAGCACTACTGATCAGCAGTGCTGATCGCATTTCCAGTTCAGCATCTTCCAGCAGCTCTCAGTTCATTCACAGATAAACAAGTAGCTCTTAAGTGCTCCATCAACCAGTACTTGAGATCCAGCTCAAGAAATCATCTTA